GGTATCTGCAAAACATAATATCCTATTCCCTCCCTTTTTTTCCAACTCTGGCCCACGCCGCTCTCATCATCTTTTAGATTCACTCACGTGTCCTTGCTGTGGTTCTAAGTACAGGTGAGTAAACCAATAACCTCTAAGGCAGGAGGAAAAACAGGCAAGCTGGCAGGTTTTCTTTGTTCCTGTGCTTTTCTGAAGTACAAAATTTAGATGTAGGAGAGAAAGAATTAAGATGCAGCGATAAGGCAGGAAGTTATCTGTGATGGAAGAAAGCCCAGAAAACCTCAATCTAGTGAAACATTTTCAAACAAATAGATAATTTGAGAAGAAAACTAGAAATGCATTCAGGTCCTAAGCATGGAGCAGGAGACCTAGAGATAGGGGTGGGTAGTAAGCAGAACTCTTTTCAGTCTTGCTGCTATGCTAAGCACACAATGGAAAAGTGTCCTTTGCAAAGCATTAGGAAGCCACATTCCAACCTTTCAAGTTTCTGTTTCATGAATGTATTTAGAAATATAAATCTGAAACTTGAACGTTTTTCTTCAAAATAAGGAAATTAAGAATGTGGTTTAAAAAAATAGAGGGAGAAAGAAGGAAGCCTTCACTATAAAGCATTTTCTCTTTCACAGTGTTGCTTAATCAATTTCCAGATCTTCAGGAAATGAGAACTTAGGAGAGTGGATTCGGAAAGCTATGGGAGAACAGCTAGGGTCGTCAGATATGATATATTGAATTCTAGTATCAGAACTCAGGAAGAAAGGAAGGCAAGAAAGAGAAGGTATGCACACAAGCAAAGGTTCTGTGACCTATTTCACCAGAAAGAAATATATCCTGAGAGCCAGGTGACGCCTGGCACTGTACTAGGCATTCGTAAGATGGGGGAAGTTTATTGTCTACATATTTCATTGGGCTTCTGAGAGCGTTAAATGCCAGTCAAGGATGAGTACATGGGATGTACATTAAAATATTAATACATCCTATTTTAAAATTTTTAAAATTATAATGACTTACATTTTTATTATAATCATCAGAATTTGTTTGAAAAGGTAGAAAATAGATATAAAATTTACTGTTAATTTTATTATATTTTTAAATCTGCCTCTTTTATAAACATCAATTTAATTTTATATTTATATTTAGGTTCTTTTAAAGAGACATGGAGAGAGAAGAGACAGAGAAAATAAAGAAGTGGGGAGAGAAAAGAGTAAAACTTAGGGGAGGGAACAAATGGAGAAAATTGCACACGAGGTTTAACATATATGTGTTGAATAAATTAACACATAAAGGAACCACTAAGTAAATGAGAAGATAGTCTTATTTTTCTAGCTAAGGTTTATTTCTGGAGAAAAGTGATTATTTGTCTTCATTTTGTGTGCTTTTCTTTATTCTTATCTTATTCCCATAATGCCAAGCAAGATGTAGAGCAAGCAGCTGCCAGAAAACAAGGAAAGTCCAAATTACTACTTTATAGGACTGTAAAGGAAATAGAAATAAACAATCAGAAATGATAAGACAAAAAAAGATCCGTGTGATTAAAATGATCAAAATTAGGCAAGACATATATTCTGAAGAAAGTACTAATGTTCAGGACAATAATGGCAACACATTATATATATATATATAACTTTTCATTCAGACCATTTTACCAAGCACATTTGACTTTCCCTTTGTTCTTTATAATACTTCAGTGGAAAAAGCCAGACATAACTTCCCTCTGCTTGAGATAAATTACTGTCATCAATATCACATATCTAATACATGAGAACCCAGAGTCACATACAGGTCTATCTGACCTTGAACCCTGAACTTTTTGGTATTATGCCATTTAGATTTTCTTTAGGTACTGAAGTTTCTCTCTAGAGCCAAAAGCATAGGGTCTTTCATAAATGGCAGCACCCAACCTGCAGCCTGTATTCAAATGGGCATTCCAGAGGAAGTACCTGCCTGGCTTGTCATGCTCATTTTCTCTCTCACCTGTGTAACTCAATACATAGACATGTCTGTCACCTCTATGAGCTCATGTATTAATTACTGGCTCTCTTGGTTGCCTCTGGCTTAGGTTTTGCCTTTTCTACCCTTCTTGGTGCCCTGGATGTCTTCTAGTTTAATAATTGTGAGGTTATTGCCGATGCCCACTTTTTCTTCTGCATAGAGTCTTAAGTTTTTCTCACATGGCCTTGGATCACTTGGAAGTCATTTCCCACCCATTGAAGTACACTTCAGTGCTCACTGTTTCCAGAGCCTAAGAGGAGAGATTATTTTGTATTGTTTTGTTTGTTGGTTGGTTTTGGGCCAAGAGCCTGGCCCTTGTTTTTTCCCTCCTTGTCCTTCTAAGACAGTCCTTTTCTTGCAGAGTGAGCATGCTGAACTATTCCTCTGTCTACACCAAAGTAACATGAACCTGGCCTGCTCTGGTGTAAATATCAACTACATTTATGGCCTAGTGGCACTGACGCAAGTTTAGATATGGGTACAGTTCTCGTTCTCACCTCCTACTACCTATTTTAAATCTCATGTCCTGCATGACACTCCCTGGGAGCAGGGTAGAGGCATGGGACACCTGTGTTTCTCTTCTTTGCACTGTTCTTATGGTAGATATGGGTTTTCTCATCAGAGAACCTCTTTTTCATTCCGAAACTACTTCATTCTTGATTGCCTTCACGACAATAAATGCTAATTTGTTTTAAACAGGCTCCAATAATTTTAAATAATTGTAATGTTTGTCTAGTAAAATATTGAATATCAAACATTTTGTTAAAATTTTAATTTTCTCAAACTATATTCAGTGCTACCTTACTATTTAATGAGTCAATTTCTTCTTTAATTCTTACACAACACTTTTTTATAGTAGGCTTGGTGAGATAAATTACCATCATCAATATCACATATCTAATACCTGAGAACCCAGAGTCACATACAGGTCTATCTGACCTTGAACGCTGAACTTTTTGGCATTGTGCCATTTAGACTTTCTGAATTCTAGTGTCCCCACATTATATCTTGCTTTGACCTTACAGAAACTTCATGGTTGAAACTTAAAGAACATAAGGTTATCTTCTCTATAATATAGATCAATCTCTGTAATCTTTCTGATTAAAGCTATTTCAAGTATTAACCAAATATCATTCTCTCTCTATCTCTCTCCATCTTTTTTTTTTCTCTCTCTTTCCAGATATCTGGAATTCAAATCCAGTTTCTGCCAAAACATGTCTAATACCAGCTCTCTTCTCCCAGAGCTTGGTCTCAGAGGCTGTGAATAATTACCTGTGGGGGGCAGAAAATAAAATATATGATTTTATTATATGCAAAATATTATTTTGGTTATAAAATATTAAATAGATTAATAAAAGAGTGATAGAATGTATGGTGCTGTGGGCATAAAAAAGGTAATCAAGTTAAAATAAGACCAATACAGTGGGCCCTAATTCAATATAACTGGTGTCCTTAAAAGAAGAGTAAGTTTGGATAGCCAACAAGAAAACAGGGAAGTGCACACATAGAGAAAAGGGCATCTAAGAACATAGCGAGAAGGTGACCATGTGCAAGCCAAGGAGAGAGGCCTCTGGAGGAAAAACAAAAGCCTGTTACCACTTTAATTTTAGATTTTACTGGCCTTCAGAACTGAGAAAAGAAAATAAGAGAGAAGAAAAAAAAGAAAAGAAAAGAAAAGAAATTCTGTTGTTAAGCTACCCAGTTTATGGTATTTTGTTATAGCAGCCCCTAGCAAACTAATACAATAGGTAACTGTGTTTTAGAACAAATTCTACACTAAAAGTACAGATGTACTTTTAATTATGGAAGAGATAAAAATTCTATAATTAGAGTTGAAAAATCATAAGACAAAGATATGTGAAAGTTCCTAAACCTTTGTAGCTGTTACAAATGTCAAAATTTCTGATTTTTTTTTTTTTTCTGCAGGAATGAGAACCAGAAATCTACATTTTAACAAGTATCATAAGTTTCTGATCCATATTATCTGGGAACTCTGAGTTGAAAAACACTGTCTAATGACCCTTAAATATTTATACAACATGCTCAACCAAAGAGTACTGTGGCCACAAGAGGAAGCTTACCACATTCCAAAGGGATCAGCCCAGCCAATAAATTGAAATCACCTCTGGTGCATGGTTTGGTACTGTAGGGCATTTATTAATATTTATACCTTTAAACTCTCAAGATAAATCAAGTAAGCTGGTTACTAATTATCTGGCTAATGAAAACACTAAAATACCCCATCTCTTCTCTCTCTAAAATGCCTTCTTCATCAGCTTTCCCAGGGGCACAAATGGATGATTAACTCTTCATACCCTTGTAATCACATAAAAACTCCTTTTGAGTTTTAATTACCTTTTGCAGGGGCTCATTTCATCCCCAAGTGTACAAGAATGGATTAGTTTCTTCAATTAGCTCCTGGACGTCTAGAAACAAAGGACTGAGTTCTGAGTGGATCAGAGACATCAAGAGGAGATGCAGTTCCTGAGAGTAGGCAGGGATCAGGAGCATGCAGGGTTACCTGAGCCCCCAGAATAATTATCAATACAATCCCAATATTTCCAAGAACCTAGCCTGACTTCCTTTCTCCCCTTGACGATGGAGAAAGCATTCATTTTAAAAATCCCTTTTTAAATTCACTTATGATCGTAAAGTGAATTTAATTCTCCAGTGTGCATAAACTGGAGTTATGCTATGTCACACATAAAACATTATCAATAGCACCCATTCTGCTTTTCCAAAATTTTGGAGTTGGTTCAAAACTTTTGCCATATTCTTCACCAGTGGCTGGTGCATGGTATCCTCTGGGCTTCTCATCCAGGTATCTCACAATACTAGTCTCCTCGCTCCTTTTTTCTCTTGTCTCCAGGGTCTGAGGTAATGAGGTCCAGGGAGACAGGCCTACTAGGGAATTGATTAAAGATCCTTTAAAGGGTCTCAGTGGATACCTTGGTCAGTAGCATAAAAACCATGGATTTAAACAGCCATCCTCCAGTCACTCTACAGTGCTTATGGCCTTTAATTTTAGCCTTGGTATGTGAGTTTATATAGTAGGCAGATGTTTGATGCTGAGTGTGGAGCCAAGAAAAGATCCCCGAAGGCTCAGCCTGAGCGTTGGAGAAAAAAAGGATAGAAGGGACTTTGACTATCCAAAGGCTGCAGAGGGCACCTGCTAAAGATGGTAACTGCTACAATCAGATCTTGCTGGCTTCATGGGATCCCAGGTCTGACCTTAGCACCAGCTCAGAAAGTAGGCAATAGCTTTCTCACATTCACCAACTTCCTTGGTTTCTTGCCTGGACACTTGCCTCCTGTGTGGTAACAGCAGGAATATTGATGAGACCCAGAGAGTTAAGCAAGTTAGGTGGGCAGAATTGTCATGCAAGCATGAACTGAGCTCAGTTATTAAAGGTTTAACATCTATCCGCCAGTCTCAGACACAAGTTAGTAGAAGCAAGAGTTATTTCCAAGAAACAAGGATATGGATAGGAAGCAGTTTGACCCTTTGGGAAAAAGTTTTCTGTGACATAAAAGGATATTCCCTGAGTGATCACAAAGTGTGGTCTATTATAATGGAATCAGAACAGTCATTCAACTTGCTCAAGTTCCTTCAAAAAGTAGTCTTAAAGCAAGACAATTTGAGGGCAGAAAGGCAATGGGTTAAGTCTTTCCTCTTGATACCATCATATTCTGGACAATTGCTTTAGTCCTGATCAGAAATAATGAAGTCCACACCAAACCTGCTAATGGATTCTGCGATGATTTTAAATGAGAAGTGCTTAGAATAATGATCATACTAAGAACTCTCTGGCCAACTGGCTAAAGATGATCTTTTCCAGGCAGATTATCTCCTGGCATCATTATTCTGAATTTTATTTTCAAGTCCCCTCTGCTAACCTATCCTCATTATTTTGTCTGATTCCTATTCTACTATACTGCCTTACAATATGAAGCACAAGTTGCAATCCCAAAGTGTCTTTGGGATTATAGGAAACAATCCCAAAGATGAGTTTATAGGAAACAAAGATGTGACCCGGATATTTAATATTCGTCTGTATCTTTGTAATTTAACCTCCACCTGCTTCAGGCTGCCTTAACTTAAACAATTGCTGGGATTTGTTAACCAAAGTTTTTCAAACTTTCAGTATGTGCCTTGGAGCTACAGAGATCTGAGTATGAGTTCCAACTTTAGTACTGGCTGGCTGCATGATTCTAAGCATATTATAAAATTCTCTAAACCTCTCTTTCCTCATTTGCAAATTGAGGCAATAATACTAACTTGCAAAGTTTTTCTAAAGTGTGAGTGCGATTATTTTTGGAAGATCTCTAATACAGAGGCTGGCAAATTGTAGCTGTTCTTCAGTAATTCCATTTCTTTCTTCTTCACCATCCTATTTTATTTTAATGTCAAAAATATTTTCCGCCTTAAGTTATTTTGACATTAAACAAAATAAGGTAAAGAAGGAGAGAAAAATGGAATTACTGAAGAACATCTACCATTTGCCAGGATCTGTGATTTTTTTTACAATAATAATTACGAAACACTGCAATGAAAACATTGCCACATTTAGAGACAATTACATTAATACAATAAAAAGCGATTCTACAGAATACATAAAAGTTATATTGTTGGCTGGGCATGGTGGCTCACGCCTGTAATTCTAGCACTTTCAGAGGCTGAGTTGGGTAGATCACAAGGTCAGGAGTTCAAGACCAGCCTGACAAACATGGTGAAACCCCATCTCTATTAAAAATACAAAAAAAAAAAATTAGCCGGGTGTGGTGGCATGTACCTGCAATATCAGGCACTCAAGAGGCTGAGGCAGGAGAATCGCTTGAAACCAGGAGGCAGAGGTTTCAGTGAGCCGAGATCATGCCACTGCACTCCAGCCTGGGCAACAGAGTGAGATTCTGTCTCAAAAAAAAAGAAGTTAAAAGTGTTAACCACTATGTAGCTTACCTGTCCCTGACAGGCAAGTTTATCCCATCTCTTCCGAATTCACTTTGATGTGTAATTTGGTAACCACTGATCATGATCACAGCAGAAGCTGAGGAGCGCAGCATGAGTCCCTGTATGATCTTCAAGTGGACAGCGAATTAATGGCACTGACTATTAATGCCACCGTGACTGGAGTGAGAAAGTGTCTGTGCAGATCTTTATGTGTATTTGTCCAATTAGTTTATTTACTTATTCAGCTAAAGAATCACAATGTTTTTTGAAGCCCTGTTGAGCTAGCTCTGATACTTGACACTGAATTATTATCTATGTGGCAAGAAAGAGTAATCATTGTTTATATCCGGAAGTCTAGAGAAAAGTCAAATATTGGTTTGAAGCTCATTTGTCTTTACTATTTGGCTATATCAGGAAGACCAGAGGAAAAGGTGAGTGAAGGGCTGGTCTGTGCCTAGAATTAGGGCTTGTATGTGCCTGGAGAAGTAAATCAAGAACCAAAAAGAGAAAGAAAGAAAAAAACTAAAAGCATAGTAAGATAAGGGAAAAGAAAAGAAGATGAAATAAAAGTTGGAATATTAGTGAGAGGCCTGGTAGAAAAAAAGCATGTGAGGATTTTTTTTTTTTTTTTTAAATATCTATTTGTAAAAGACAGGCAAAGTTAAATACGGCCAGCAGGATTAATGAGGAAACTCTTACTCCTTAGTCTGAAGGAGCAGAGAGCAAGGAGCATGCTACTATAAGAGAAAAGTCCCCAACAGCAGCTGTAGCCTTCAGTGGCAGAACACAGTCACTGCCAACCCACAATGCCAGGAGAGGGAACCTTGAACTCTCCCTCCTCCCACGCTCTTATCTCTCCTCGGTACATCCCATTGGCTGAGATTAGTAAAAAGTCCAGAGGCTAAGAAGACCTGGTTGATACAGAATTCAGAAAAGAGCAAAAAGGGTGGAGAAGCTCATTTAGAATCTCCAACTCGCCCAGCGTGGCTCAGCACTTCACAATTCCATGTCTTTTCTTTCTTACGGAGACTATGAGACTAAATATATTTGCCTCCAAAAGATACTGAGAGGAAGCCAAGAACCAGAAAGAAATAGCCACTAGAAGGAACTGCACAGTTCTAGGTATATTTAATTCTATTTTTCTTTCCTTTAATTTCCACTAGGTGCAATCACTGGTACTGCCTCAATTTACTTCAGGATTTTGGAGGGCACTCACCTTCCCCCATGTCTCCTCACACAATGACCCTGGGATCCCTGGGAAACAGCAGCAGCAGCATTTCCTCTACCTTCCTGCTGAGTGGCATTTCTGGGCTGGAGCACATGCACATCTGGATCTCCATCCCACTGTGCTTCATGTACCTGGTCTCCATCCTGGGCAACTGCACAATTCTTTTTATCATTAAAACAGAGAGCTCACTCCATGAGCCTATGTATCTCTTCCTGTCCATGCTGGCTCTGATTGACCTGGGTCTGTCGCTTTGCACTCTGCCTACAGTCCTGGGCATCTTTTGGGTTGGAGTACGAGAAATCAGCCATGATGCCTGTTTTGCTCAGCTCTTCTTCATTCACTGTTTGTCCTTCCTCGAGTCCTCTGTGCTACTGTCTATGGCCTTTGACCGCTTTGTGGCTATCTGCCGCCCCTTGCACTATGCTTCCATTCTCACCAACACAGTCATTGGCAGGATTGGCCTGGTCTCTCTGGGTCGTAGTATAGCACTTATTTTTCCGTTGCCTTTTATGCTCAAAAGATTCTCCTATTGTGGCCTCCCAGTTCTCTCACATTCTTACTGTCTCCACCAAGAAGTGATGAAATTGGCCTGTGCTGACATCAAGGCCAACAGCATCTATGGCATGTTTGTCATTGTCTCCACAGTGGGTATAGACTCCCTGCTCATTCTCTTCTCTTACGCCCTGATCCTGTGCACCGTGCTTTCCATCACCTCCAGGGCTGAGAGACTCAAGACTTTTAACACCTGTGCCTCCCACATCTGTGCTGTGCTGCTCTTCTACACTCCCATGATTGGCCTCTCTGTCATCCATCGCTTTGGAAAGCAGGTACCCCACCTGGTCCAGGTGGTCATGGGTTTCATGTATCTTCTCTTCCCTCCTGTGATGAATCCCATTGTCTACAGCGTGAAGACCAAACAGATCCGGGAACGAGTGACTCATGCCTTTTGTAACTGTGTCTAGTGTTAGAGGCAATGTCTCCTGAAACATGACCTTGTTTTCCTATCCTTTATAATTTCTAACATTTGTAAAATAAAGGAGACATTTATTTACTCAACAAATATGTACAGGGATGAGTCATAGTCCTTGCAGAACCCTCTTTCTGTTGTGGCGAGGAGAGGGGGTAGAAAATGTAGTATGATGTGGTGAATTCTATTTTCCAAAAACAGCCACAGAAATAATTCCAATCCCACATTCTCTTCCACGAACTTGCCACACCTCATAAAGAGATAGGGTTTATTTCTTCTCCCCTTGTAACTGGATAGGAATTTGTAAATCCCTCACGAATTGAATATTGTGGAAATAGCCCCCCACATGCTCTGTCCATCTCCATTGTATCACTATTTCTGTCTGTCTCACTCAACACTTGCTTTTGAAACTCAGCCCCTGTACTAAGAGGAAGCCCAGATGATGTGGAGAGGCCCCATGTAGGTGTTCCAGTCAATAGGCTCAGCTAAGGTCTCACTCAGCTGAGACTGAGACCTTAGCAGAGTCGGTGTTAAACACAAGTTAGTGAAGAATCCTCAGATTATTCCATTCTCCAACCTTCCAGCTTCTCCAACTGGGATCTGGTAAAGCAGTTGATTGTTCTCTGACTCAGCCCAAATTGCAGATTCGTAAACAAAATAAATATTTTTAAGACACTAAATTTTGGGATGATTCATTATAGAATCACATGTTAATTGTATTACTCAAAGTAAAAAGAGGTTGGTTTGGGAGCTATCTTCTCCTAGCTGGCGGAAATGATCACCAAAAAAGGTTTCCCTGAGTTGACACTGTAGTAGGCTTAAGGGAAATGTAGACATTAGGCAGTCAAAAACTATATGAGGAAGGAGACAAAAATATGTTCCAGGTGAAGGAACTGCATGTGCAAAGCTGAAGTGAGAGAGAGGACGATGTATTCTGAGAATTATCTGAAGCATGGTTTTTGTTGTCATTTTTATTCTCTAGAATATCTGGAAGGTTTAAGAAAAATGAGGTGAAGTGGAAACAGATTGAGGTACTGACTACGTTAGAAAGATTATAAGCCAAGGAACCAAGGAGAAATAGTGTTATTCCCGATTTTATATGTTATATTGTGATTGTACCCTCAAGATATTCTAGATAAAAAGTTACATTTTTGAGCAATACATGTCAATATAGTATTTGCAGTTTTGGTTTGGAGGTAACTGTGAGGAAAGCAAGCTTGAATATGGTGTTGCCATGGAGAAATTTGAACACCTAGAGAAAAGCATAAGGATGTCACGTTCCTGCACAGTTTCAGTGCAGGATCAAGAAAGGGTGTGGCTGAACACAATGTCTTCTACTATGAAGTGTATATGTGGATCCAGTTCTCACCTGAGGTTGGTCTCCTCCAAGGCTGTCTGTTACACATGACATTTAACACTGGATACGCCCCAGCTCCTAACACTAGTGTCTCATCCTGTTTCTCGTGAGAACACTGTTTCTGCAATGATATTATCAACCCTGAAATAATCAAAAGGATCATAACCCAGTTTAAAAGAGCTTATTTTGCCACAAAGTTGAGAATGACCATTTGGGTAACACAGACCCCAAAGAATGGAGTCATTGCTCCAAAGCTGAAACATTAAGGACTTGCTTATATATGTGGAAAGCAAATAAATTTAAGAGGATTACAACATTTTCCATACAAATCTGGCTTGTCAGTTATAGTAATTTGAATACTTACAGCTTGTTCATTTTTCAATTTGAAAGAGTGTATTTAACATTCCAGCCTAGACAGCACGTTAGTCCTGACGTTTTTGTGTAAGAGAAACAAAACATAAGTTAATCTGTAATGAAGATCAACAATGAAGTGGGAAAAGGTCTTCTCTTGCATTCTGTAGTTTTTTACAACATTTTAAAAAACAATATAATTAAATAAAAGAATAATTATAATAAGAGAAACAAAGATTATAGCTGCCTAGGTTATAGCTGCCTGTTACATGATTCAGATCCCACAATCACATTCCTTTAAGGCTCAATATTCCAACATCTTTCATTTTGAATTCCTTATTTTTACAATATGTATATGTGAATTATGGGATCAACATGCGGAAGACCTATGATTAGCTGTACACAGAAAGTTGAATAAAATATAATATGTCTGTGAATGTCATGAGTTGTGCATGTCTTTTGAGTTTGTATATACAGAAAATTCCAGAAAAACACATTATATCACTGAAAAGTTTGAGGCATGCATACAGCTTCATAGCTGGATTCTCTCTGTGATGTCTACTTGTAATTTCAGTTCCCATAAAGGAGTTATGTCTTCTTATGGCTAATTATAAGTTAAAATGTATTTGATATAATAGAGAGTATACTAAACTTGGAATCTGGTATAGAAAGTTCGACTTCCTCAATGTGTGGCTTGGACAAATTATTTTATTTATCTGAGATCAATTTTCTATTTAAAATAACTAAAACTTCCTTTTTTTCCCATTTATTTATTTTATTGCATTTTAGGTTTTGGGGTACATGTGAAGAACATGCAAAATTATTGCATAGGAACACTCGTGGCAGTGTGATTTGCTGCCTTCCTCC